TACAAAGATTAAATATCCTCTTATCCAATAATTCACATAATACCTTTAGCATAATGCTCTGCATGTCGAAAATGCTCCGTGCTCTATTTTAGAAGTGCCCAAATTATTTTATCGCTAATGGTAAGTCTAGGAGACCCTGACTTAGTTCATTAGTTTTCTCTGAACGATTTGGGGCAGGATTTGTCTTTCTGGGGGTTATTTAGTTAGGAGGTTCTTGATCGTTCTCCCATCAGAAGTGGAAGAAGACACTGCGCCCAGGAACGGACTGGGTTTGAGGTTAAACCCTGATGTGACTCAAGCAGCTAAAGACAGAAGTCCTTCAAGCTACCGGGGCTTTGGGGTAACCGATGACCTTCATCAATACTGGCCACGCATTTTACCATTTTGGCGTTCCTTAATATTTACTGGGACATAACTTAAATATTATAATTGTGCTGAATTCTACCAATGCATACTACGGATGCGGTCACTGTAAGTAATTTACGTTATTTTGACAACATGAAGATAAAAACAGCATTTTGTAATTTGCATTTTCTTAGTTACTAGTACACTGGGCTCTTTTTTCATACTCTTACTGAATCTTATTTCTTTTCTGAAAACCATTTCATCTTCTCTGCCCATGTCTCACGTAGGATGAATATTAACCGACCTGGAACAGCTCTGCTATGTTAAAGGCAAACTTCTCTTTGCCGCATACGTTTTCCCAGCCTCTGCTCGCTTTCATTCTATTTCCACGGAAAACAAAAGTTTAACATTTTTATATAGCTAAAGTGATTGGCTTTTTCCTTTTGTAATTATTCCCATTGCTTTTAGGCTTAGAAGGTCTTTCCCTATTTCAGAACTCGTTCAATATGCGCCCATATTTCCTTACTTATTTTTGGGTGTGGTTCATTGGTTGGTCTTCGCTGCTTAATCCGTTTGGAATTCTTACTCGGGCAACAGTCATAAATATTAATAAACTGGTAGGGCCTTTCTAGAAAATGTGTTTTTAATATCTGTACAAGCCACAAATTAGTTAGTATTCCTTACCCCATTAATTCCACTTCTAAGAATCTAGATTACTTAAGAAAACGATTGGCACGTGGTCAAGGATTTCTACAAGAAGACAGTCAGTCATCCCAGGGCTGTTTACAATGGCTTAAAAGTGGAAATAACTCAAAAATCTCTCACGGGTGGTGTGAGTGAGTAAATGTCTTCAGCTGCACCCTCCAACACGGTGACCACTAGTCACACGTGCCTACTTATATTTCAATGTATTAAAATTCAATAAGATAAAAAAAATTCAGCTGCTCAAGTTGCATTAGTCACATTTCAAGTGGTAATAGCCACGTGTGGCTAGTGGCTACCACATTGGAGACAGCACAGGTACAGAACATTCCCATTCTCATAGAAGTTTCTATTGAGCAGTGCTGCCATTAAAGTCAGCTTTTTATGGAATAGCTAATAGTATCAGATGTATCCCTAATATGAGGGTAAGTAAAAATACCAAAATACAAAAAATTTGGTGGGAACACAGATTCGGAGCGGTTGCAGTAATTTTTTTTATTTAAGATTTTTAAGTTTATTTGAGACAGAGCACAGCGGGGCAGGGGCGGAGAGGGGGAGAGAGGGAGAATCCCAAACTGTCAAGCGCAGAGCCCGATGTGGGGATCGAATTCATGACCCGTGAGATCATGACCTGAGCCAGAATCAAGAGTGGAACGCTTAACCGACTAAGCCACCCCGGAATTTTAATTACCAACATCTTCATCAAGTTGTATATTTTTCCCCCAGAGGAAACCCAAACCCCGGCCTCATGAAGGTCATTGTCTTAAAGAAAAAATAATTAAGAAAAATGAAGATTTATGGGTGCATAGGAAGTTGACGACATACACAGGGAAACCTAGTTCATGGCACCTACTCAGTAACTTAACTGTTAATTTTTCCCAGATCCAAATGAGACTTCCCAGACTGGGTCAAATACAAGATGTAATTAACACTATATTCTGTGGCCAACAGCGGTCCCCAAAGCAGCCATGATTATCCTTCTGTCAGCACCTGTATTCCAGCCAACAAAGTCACAGAAACAACAATGGCACTTAAGAACCTGGAGTACATAAAGAATATTCAGTAAATATGGAAAGGCTGTGAGGCCTATCAAACACCTCTCAAGAATCAGCCACTACCGAAGAACATTTCACGTACATGTGATTAATCACTTTGGGAAATACTGCCTATAGAGAACACCTACAGCGAATCTGTACCCAACTCTCCCACTGAAAACAACTAAAAAAAGCAAACTACAAAATGAGAAAAATTTTAAACCAAAACGGTATTGAAATAGCGAGAAAAAATGATCTGCGAAAAGATGAAAATTTCAAGAGGTGGGCTCAGCATTTGGGATCACTGTTATCTAAGGGATGTCTGTCAAGGCCAAAGAAGTATCTGAGAGGCTGAGCATCATGTTAGTTCCTTAGAGGGTCAGAAGTCAAAGTCCAGAGCCCACCAGGGATAGGTGCTCAGGAAAAACCTCCATATTTTGTACCAAACAGAAATAAATCAGTCTTGAGAGGACTGTGAGCCATCTGGGCCATCCAGGAAAACCCCAGGCCCTGAAAATGGACTAAAACAATCCCAGATTTAATCCCCCAGCTACCTTACAGAAACACCCCAAATTTTCTCTAGCAGAAAAGATCATCATCCGAGGCTTTAAACTATTTCTACAAACAAATGTTTAATATGATGTTCGTCACGCAATCAAAAATGACCAGTCACACAAGAAGAGAAGAGAAACAGTAAGAACAGCTCCTCCGGGCCTCAAGTTTGGGATTATCAGATACGGACTTTAAAATAAGTATGTTTATGGTACTTGAAAGAAATCAAAAATGTTATTACAAACTTTGCAAAATAACTGAACACTCTAAAAAGTGGCAGATTGGAAAAAGAACCAAATGGAAATTCTAGAACTAAAAAACGCAATAACTGAAATAACAGGATAGACGAGTTTAACAGCATACTGGACATAACTGAAAAGAGAATTTGTAAACTTGAATAGCTTTGGAATGAAGTATGGAAAGGCAAAAGTTGGAATAAATAGAAGAGATCGTGGGAAGCAGAATATGGAGTGATTTTCTAACACTGGAATCCTAGAAGGAAAAGGAAAAGTGACCCAAAGCAATTCCAGAAATAATGGCTGAGGATTGTTCCACGAATCCACAAATTCATGAAATCCTAGGAACCTCAGGCAGGAAAAATAAGAAGTCTACATCTGAAATCATTATACTCAAACTACAGAAAACTTAAAGAGGAAAATCTTAAAAGCAGTTGGCAACAGAAGATCACCTTTAGGGGAACAACAGTTAGTAAGACTCCTGACTTTTCAGCAGCAACAATGAAAGCCAGGAGACAATGGGATCGATCTTCCAGGGACTGAAAGAAAATCACTACCAACCTACAATTCCATTCCTTTCAAAATATCCTTAAATACTGAGAGTGCAAGAAATAATTTTCAGACAAACAAAAACTAAGAGAATTCTTTACTGGCAGACCCACATTTAAGAAGATACCACGGAGTGTTCTTCAAGCAAAAGGAAAGTTAATCCCAGATGGAGGTCAAAGATGCAAAAGGAAGGAAAAGCAATCACATGGAGGAGGCAGCAGGTTGAATTCTGGACAAGAATGGGGCGTTGAAGAACTATCCAGAACTGATTTACAGGGTGAAGTTATCTTGCCCCTATACTAGTTGAAATTATATCTGGCAATCTTCTGAAAGAAAAAGAGTTCAACCTTATTTTTGCATGGAATCTCTTTTTTACTATTTTGGAGTGGAGAAAAATCAGATGCCATGAAGAAAAAAAAATCAACAGATTTTACTACATGACTTTTTAAATGCAGATGGCCAAAGAAACAACTTACAAAGTCGTAACTGAGAGAAAATATTTACAACAGCTGATCAGCTAAGATCAGGTTCCACTGCATGTGGAGTGGCATCTAGAGGTGGAAAGAGGTGAAGCAGAGGATTCTTTTGAGGTCTGAGGTACTATTTCCCTCATTAAACCACGTATTTTTAATTGCTAAAAACAGATCATGAATTAAGAAAGAAAAGCTAAGCGAACTAAGTGTTTGATGAATGTAGAGTTATTATTGGCTCTGGCAGCCAGCAGCTTTTTGTTTTCTGTTATGGGAGTTGAAACTAGATTATAAATGCAAGTTTCTGATATTTATGACACCAGAGCAACATGAGGAATAGCCTTTTCCAGTGGGTGAAAAAGAACAATTTAATCCTTGTATTTTTAGTATAATTTATAAATTTATAAAATATATAATATTTAATATTTCATGTACCTTAATGTCCCTCCTATCCCTAGAACTTTAACATTCATCCTCAACACTATAAGAATATCACTCCTGGGGCACCTGGGTGGCTCAGTCAGTTAAGCATCCAACGCTTGATTTCAGCTCAGGTCATGATCTCGCCGTTTCATGGGTTTGAGCCCCACATCGGGCTCTGTGCTGACAGTGCGAAGCCTGCTTGGGATTCTCCCCCTCTCTCTGCCCTTCCCCACTTGCATGGTCTCTGTCTCTCTCAAAATAAATAAATAAACTTAAGAAAAAAATAGTATCACTCCTGAATTACTGAGACAGAAGTCCTTTGTTCTCAGGATAGGTCAAGGGGGCTGCCAAGGACTCTATTCTATTGCTCTTCAAAGGACATCACTACCGGACAGAACGAGTCCGTCGACGATGGTGCTGTGAATTCCTGTCCCGCTCACATTATATACTCTGCCAGTTCCCTTTATTTCAAAATATTTCTATAGCATATGTCTCTGCTCTCTTAAAACTGCCATCCTGAAACGATAATGTCAACGACTTAACTGAAGCAGTTCAGGAATGTTCTCTGTAGGCAAGAAGAGCTGGATGGCAGGGCGGACATTTGGCATCCACTGCACTTATTCACAGAGAACGTCATGGCTCCAGGCACAGGTGAGAAAGCACAAATCTGGCGGCTGGCGGCCACTCACCTGCCGGAGCTTGGTTCCCACCATGGAGGCACTGCTGTCCAGCACAAATACCACGTTCTTGGGTAAAGGAGGCAGGTCTTTGGGGGCAAAGTAGTGCACAAAATAGCCATTTAGAACCTGGTGGGGGGAAGAGAAGGTCGAGATGGTAGTACCCAGGACGGGCAGGCAGACGAGCTAAAACGGCCAGTCTCCATAACTTCTAAAAGTCAGAGCACGAAACAGCTTCCACACCCCCAGCAAAAGTATCTACTGACCCCTCCGGGAGACCCAACTGCCGATTTAATCTGCATACGGTTAATATCAGCCCTCAGGAACTTCCCGACTATGCTGACTAGCTCAATTTCTATTACCCACCCCCTTATGACCCCTGGCCACTTGGAATTCCTGCTTCCTTCAGTATCTGGTTTTTACAAGTTGAGACGTCAAAGTTGTCTGCATTCTGGACGCGTGCAAATACATTTTAATATTCCCGCCCTGTCTCTAGAGCAATAAAACCTAAAGGGAAATGAGCCACTGCACCAGGCTCTCAATTAAAATTGAAGACGAACTAAAATTCTAACTTCATCTAAAACACGGCAGGGAAAATTCTATTACAGATTTCATTTGCTCTCCAGATTACTGAAGCAGGAAATAGATAGCCTCAGCCTCTAGGAAGGGAACACCCTAGTCCCCTCGGAGACCTATTCTAGGGTAAAACAAATTTCTAAGAACCAGAGAGTTCTCCCTCCCTTAGGTAAGAACTGGAATCCCTCGTCCTGAGTCTAACGACAAGTATCAAGCAACTGACAGGAAATGGTAACAATGAACCCATTACCTGGATGTCCCCAATGCTCGGCTCCCTGTTGACATCATACCTAACGATGAAATCTCCCAAAATGCCATTCTGGGCAATCTTGGCTTGTTGTACCACGCTAGGCTTAAAAATGATTTTGGCAAAAGTGTCATTTTGGTTGATAACAGTGGAAGGAGGCAGCTCAGAATCACCTGCAAATAAGACACAAACATAATCAATAACTGAACCTACCAGTATTTTTCTGAAGAGAAGCTGGGCTGTTTTCGATAGACACAGAGGGTTAGAGTTTATTTTATTGCAGGTTTACTTTCCATATGAACTTCACAGACTTCATACTGATAATGTGTCACCGTGCAAGAGAGGTTAGACATGTCACCTCTATGCCTTTTTTTTCAACTTTTACGTGAACTGTGTGACATACGAAAGCAGGGAGAACAGTAAAATAAACCTCCGTGTACCCTTTACCCAACTTTAACAATTATCCACCTCGTACCAATTTTTTTTACCCGTTTTCACGAATCCCCTCACCATCTTTTGCTAGAATATTTTAAAACAAATCCCAGACATATTTCATCTGTAGCTACTTCGGTATGCATCTCTCATCACAAGTAACAAAACCAATGTTCAGTGCCGTATCATCCTGGAATACTCCGTCTGTATTGAAATTTTCCTGATTCTCTAGAACGTGTCTTGGCAGGGCTGAGTTGTTTGAATCCAGATCAAAAACAGACCACACATCACACTGGGTTCATGCTTCTTAAATCTTTTTTAATCTACAAATATCCCCTCCCCCTGCCTTTCTTCGAATGCTACGTAACAGTGTTGTGAAACACTAGTCATCCGTCTTCTGGAATTTCTCACATTCTGCATTTCGTGATTATTTGCTTGTCTTTTAACTTGCTCCTCGATTCCCCTAGTTTCCAGCCTTAGCTCGCATTCTAACATCTGGGGGAGCTAGAAAAAAATACCAGTATCCAGGCCAAGAGCTCATTTAATTTGTCTGGGACACAGCCTAGGCATCGAGACTTTAAAATTCCCCATGTGAGTCTGACGTGCAGTCAAGGTTGAGAACCCCAGCTCCATCCTCCGTATCGTCCTGTGTTCCAGTAGGAAAGTTAGAGGCTTGGTGAGGCTCAGGTCAGGACCACTGACAAGAACGCTTCACAGGTGATGCTGAGTACTTACCGCTTTTTCAAATCGCAAGTATACAGTATCTACTTGTCTACCTTCAGTCGTAGTAAGAAAGATGGCGGGCGCCCATATGGTCAATCGGACCCCCCACTATCAAGCTCCTCATCGATCTTTCACTTCGTAGTTTTACCAGTCACTGACGAGGTTCGTCTGGGTCCACTATTTAATCAGAGTTGCAAAAGGGCGGGGTCTAGTCCTGCCATGCCTTCCATATGGGAATCTTCCACAAAAAACACCTTTCTCACCCCAATCTTTTAGCTGCCCTAACATACTGTGTGTCCGGAAAGTTTCTGGCTCTTTTTAAAGAGCCAATGTTTTCCCCAGCATAAATCTTTACATATAAATTAGAATTACAGGAAGATACATACATGGATTTTAAATGATTTATGAAAAATAACTGGGATGACAGATTAAGTACAGCCCATGTTTTACCCCTGACTCTCATTTTCTCTTAGAACAGAGAATTATTTTGCAGACTACTCACCTTTCTAAATCCAAACACCACCATGTCTATGTACTTAGCAATGGAAATTCAAATTTTTTAGCTCTGCATGCACCGAGGGGAACAAAAATAAAATGGAGAACAGAGGAACATCAGTATATGTGGAGACTTCATCCGGATACTGAATCAAAGCCAGACTTACAACTGCTGCAAAGCATCTGATTGTTTTTTTTAAATCTATTCAAGTTGATACCATAGAGTGAGCTGACCAGCCATCTCCCATCACTAATTAACAAAATAAAAAAGGAAACAAGGCATAATTTGCCCATGGCAATTTGTATTTAAAAATAAACTTCCTTCTGCTAAGCGTTTATTAGACATTTAAGTCAAAGGAAGTTTAAACATTTCCTGCAACAGAACAGAACGTTATTTTTCAGGAACAGTTTAGGTGTAACTTGAACAGGAACCACTGGGAAGAACTGATTCTTGTATTATTTGCACCCATCAAGGGCAGGAGTTTCGGGTGTGACCGGAAAGGCAGCAAATAGGAGATTTCATTCTTACAGGAGGCAGTTGTAGGAAAGACACGCTTCCAACAGACCTGCTCATCTGCAGAAGGAGCTGGAAACGCCAACCGCACATTTCCAGTTCACCAACACGGTCCAAGACACCTGAGCACCACTAAAGACGAGGAAGGAAACAAAGGCTGCAAATGGAAAGGTCCTTGACACGGAAGGAAAATGCACGCTCTTCAGAGTGGATCTCACATTGGTGATCACCGGTAAAGCACCAAGAGTGACAGGCCTGGTAACACAGCTGAGCACTTGGAATCCTGAATGAGTCAGAAGGACCTGCTTCTGATACCGGCTCTACCTCTTATGACCCATGAGACTTTGGGCAAGTCACTGAGCCTTGGTGATCTCATCCGCAAAATGGATTCATGGTCTACCAAACACACACTATTGAAAAGATTAAGTGATGGGATAGAGAGCAGTCCTCCCTTAGCCCCACCCTTATCCACATTCCAAGATCCCAGGGGATGCCTGAAACCCTGGATAGTACTGAACCCTGTATACACTATGCTTTTTTCCTGTACACACATACCTACGATCAAGTTTAATTTACAAAGTAGGCACAGTAAGTGACTAACAACAATAGCAAATAATAAAATAGAACAATTACAGCAATAGCCTGTAATAAAAGCTACATGAATGTGGGTCGGTCTCTCTCTCTCAAAGCATCTTCTGGGGCTGCACTCTTCTTCTTGGGATGATGTGGGATGATTAAGCGCCTCCATGATGAGATGAAGCGAGGTGAACGACACAGGCACGTGACCTAGCGCGAGGCCAGTACTGACCTTCTGACCACATGTCGGAAGGAGAAGCATCCGCTTTCAGGACCGTGGGTGACCGTGGATAACCGCGACTGAGGGAAACGAAATCATGGAGAAGGCAGGGGGGCTACTGTACTTAGACCCTTCTGACTCATGGTAAGCAGTCATGCTCGCTAATGTTATTGTAAGCCTTAAAAATACACAAAACAGAATAAGGGAACTAAATGCAAGACAATACAACAGATTGAACTTGGGACACTGCGTGCAACAAAAAGGAGAGAGCCGCTGTGATTTACAACATCTCACAGTCATTCTGAGTGGAAACAGAAGACACACAAAGAGGATACTCTCCACGCTTCCATCTACGTAAAACTCAAGACCAGCACAGTGCGTCCGCGGCAACTGACGCGGGACAGTGGTTAAGAATGGTCGATACCCCTGGGGGACAAGCACCTACAGGGAAAGAGTGCGGGAAATCCTTTGCGGTGGTGAAAATACTCTATGTCTTGGCCCAGAAGTAGTTGTAGTACGGGTGTACACACATGTGAAGATTCACCCCTGAGATTTATACGCTTTGCTCTACGTGTAACCCCAATTTAAAAAAAACCCAAACCCGCTGGGAGTTCGGTAGCAGAATAGATTGAACAAGCATTCCCTAGCATGGAGCGGAACGGCATCATTGGCCAAACGGACCCTATCTGTTCTTCTCCTTAGGATAAGTCTGTTAGTGTAGGCATTTATATGGGGATTAGGTGTATTCAGAGTAATTCCAGCTGGCAGAATTAGGACCGGGGTAGGGTTGCTGGGAAGCAGGCTCTGTGCAGTATGAAGAAGCTCTAGGAAAGATGCCCCGCGGGCAGAGGAGGCAGCTTTCACAGCCCATCTCACTGGAAAGGTTCCAGCAAACCCTGCATGCATCAACCACCCGCAGGGACCGGGCAGCGCAGTGCTCATGACACGGCCTGGGGCAGCAGCATCACCGGCGAACTTGCCAGAAACACAAACTCTTGGGCCCATCTGGAGACTCTCAATCAGAAACTCTGGAGGTGGGACCCAGAAAGCTGTATTTTCAGAAGCCTGGCAGGTGACTCTGTTCCTGCACAGAGACAATGGTCACGTGCCTTTTGGTGTATGTAATTGGGTGGCGTTAGATTATCTCCAACATTCAAATTCTACATTAGAATTGACCCTCTTTAATCTACCAGCATGTACCTACTTTTCCTCACTTCAAATCTCTCACTCAAATGCTCCTTACAATGCTCTGAATTAATACCATTCATGGTTGAACGAAAGCACTGAGGATTCAAAAGTATAATTTCTCCCTTCATAATTCATTTGACTAGGCTCTTTGATAGAAGCCATGAGAAAGATAGTGTATTATTATTTTGGTTTCTTAATGACCTCCGATGTTTGTTAGTTCGTGATGAAAATTCATGAGATTCCTCTAAATGGGCTTATTTTATATGCCCCAAGAGTGGGTTGATTCCCACTTTGGTCACTCACCACGAAACCTAACTCCCGAGGCTGATTTCCACCCATTGAGGATCAGACAGTCCATGTGACCCAACGAATTTTCCACTAACTATCAAAATTTAAAAAAAAAAAGAAAAGTTTGCTGGGAAAAATTCCAGAGCAACAACTCTAGGAAATAAAGTCGTCTTTTTTATTAGAGAAGGGAAAAGCCTTTTAATCAATGAGGTTAATATAGGCTGCCCCACAGTGACTGACCAACATCCCAAACCAGAGCACTGCTGAGATTTTCCTTATGTGCATTGTGGCCCGTACTGCTGACGGCCACAAAACAGCTCCCGAGCACAATGAGCTTTATGAGCAGGGCCCTGGGCGGTCACGGCATGTGCTCTAAAGATAATGAAGAATACAAGGGAAGAGGCTGGGAGCAGACCAAAAGAGTGAGACTCTGACCTACTTTTCTAATGAGAACCCACATGTCTTTTCCTCCTCTTGGTTTTCTCTCCTTCGTGCCCACTTGGTTGGGGGGAGAGAATGCAGCGCGATGACCGCGCTGATTTGGACGAAGCCGGGTCTCCTAATGGCATCTTCCTGTTTCAATGCAAGCATCAGAGCTCGTGAGCGAGACGGCCTTCTGTGGCCCACCGGGGCCTCCAGCACCTCCCCGGGAAGGTTCACCAACCACTCCTTCTCCACCCACTCTTCCGCCACCCGCAGGTCACCGGTGTCCCCGGGACGTGCTCTTTTTTCCAGAC